GCAATTTGATCCGCACATGGTTTGTTCTTCCTGAAGCCAGTCAGCCAACCTGTTCTGGTCATAATTCTGAATGCAGAGCATTTTTTAGTCTTTCCAGGATGATGCGGCCTAATATTTGGCTTGGGGTGGACAATGGTGGAGCATGATTCCGCTCCAGTTCTTGTTCTTGCAAAGACTTAGGTCGTCCTTCTTTCGAAGTTTGACAAGGTAGCCTTTCTACCGATCAGCATATACATACAGTAGAAGTGTTGTGAGCATGTCCACTGTTGTCTCTGAGTCTGTTTTCAGTGCTTCTGGAGGAATTGCATCAGGTCCTGCTGCTTTCCCGGATTTCAGCAACTTTACGACGTTCACGACCTCACTTCTGCTGTAGTCGTGGGGTTTGTATTCAGTGGTAGTTCTGTGGCTGGGTTGCTGGTGGTATTTCTGGACGAGTTGCAGGTGGTGCTGGTGGTGGTGGTGGTGGTGGTCGATTCGAGAGTTTCTTGAAGTGGTCAGCCCATCATTTCCTTTGTTTCTCCTCTTTGGTGGTAACTGACTTTCTTTCACTATCTTTCATTGGTCTCATCTGTGTTGATCTCTTCCCAGATAGTAATCTGGTTATTTGATATAATGTTGTTAGGTCTGTCCTACCTACAGCTTGTCATGCTTTACTTGCCAGTGTCGTTCAGTTGCATCCTTCGACACATTTCCCTCTCAACACATTCCGATATTTTTCCGTAATAGACTGGCTTATTTGATACAGAACACCCTCATATAGAATTATTTCTTATATGATGTTTCCAGCCCAATTTGTTGCTCATATTCCTGTCAAGGTAATCACACTATTTCCTGCCTTCATAAAAAAAATTAGGAAGTTTGCATATATTGTTATGAACCCACCGGAGGAAGCCGTCTCTAAGTTAGTCAAAGAGGTTTACATTAATGTCAGTAACTGATAACTCTAATGAAATATATGGTTCTTTCAAAGGTCATGAAATATTCTATCCTACTAGCTAAGTATTTAATCTTAGTGGCATCCCACTTTATGAACTGTCGAGTTATACTTTATCGATTATATACCTTGATGGTGGCATGGGTTCACATTATTGTGGAGTCTGATACTAAGACGAAACAGCTGTTCAGTGCTCTCAAGTTTGCCAAAATTCTCCAACTGATTTCAGTTGGTAATGAATACCAGCTTGAAATAGACAAGCTCCTACAATCCTTCTAATATAAAAATATTCGTTATCTCTTTATCTACATCCAGTTTTACTGAAAAAGATCTGTTAATAAAGAAATACTATTTACAATTGTTTCCCCTTAAGGGGCAATTAAGTTAGTGAGCTGAATAATAGTTCATCTGCGTTAATGAAATATCTGCTTTTTCAGCATACATCTGCCGGAAAATGGAATCAGTAAGCAACAAATTATGAAACTGCTGATGATTGAAGAAGGTTATATATGATGAAATGAACGGTTTTTTATTGAGCCCACTTTTTATCGGTACCACTATTTTCGGCCTCATTCAATAACTTGATATGATCCACACTTCAGTGAATCAAATGCTTACTGGATTACTATTTGTCAGCTCGTAAACAGTTTTATCATTCAATAGTTATTTTATCTATGGAACAAAATCTGTTTCATATATGAAAATCGTTCTCTTTTGTTTATTAATCGTCTTCGTCTTAGTCATTAGTAAGTCCAGTCTAATCTTTCCGGTTGAACCTTGCATATATTAACTCCTTTGGTGCTCCATACCAGTATACTAAATGAAACACCTCATAGTTATATAAGTTCGTTGTACAAAATGATGCGACAGTGTTGTTTGAGCTCTTCTATCAATTAAAAAGTTCACTTCAAGTCTAAGCTAAATGACAGTGACAATCTGTTTTACACATTTCCCTTTATGCAATCATAACAAGTTCACATGCTTATTATATCCCTTGATAGCTAACTCAGTAAGCTTAGATGCATTAGGATAGATTAAGGAGAACACAGTATAAAAGTTGCCTAATCATCCTTAGTGTATTACTCTAAGAAAGTCCTTATTCAGCAGTATGAAAGAAATACTTTCAACTGACTAATGATTCTCTGGAAGATAGATTTCAACCATCTGCTTACAAATCAGACAAGTTTACAGTGTTTTTTACGTCACTATGTGAATGTATTCAAGTAGACTTGCCGTAGGACCAATGAAATATTTCTACAGGTGTTACTTGATTACTGATGTTGACTACAATCTGAGTAAAGTATTGGAAATTTTCTCACACTTTCATGCTCTACACAGCTGAGTAAACAGTTGTAGAAACCTATGCTTGAGAAGAAACTATATTTATTCCAGAATATTACTTCACCGATTGATGAAATAGAGATAATGAATATTCATCTTTTAATCTTTGAAAAGAATAAACAATTTGGATTGTGCACTTGGAAGGCAGCTGAATTTTAGTTTATTTATTAGATGTATTATAGAATAAGACAGAATTACTTACTGAATAACATTTCTGGCACAATTGATTGTCTAAATTCACTTCAAGGTGACTTCACAACTTTGAGATATAGTTAACATAGTTTTGATTCACTTTTCTCCTTTGCGATAAGAACCTTAGGATTTTTCAAACATCTCGAACAGGTGTAGAATAATTCTAACCTCATATATTTAAGTTTCATTCAGTAAACATAGGTTCAGTCATAAGTCTCTTCTTCGAACTGACTAAGTTAGTCTCAATAACTGTCACTCTGTGATATCCTATTGTTTAGTTGCGTGTACCTGTATCCATAGCTAAAGCCGAGCGTTATTCCGGACTCTTTATCTTTCTAAAATCTACGAATCATGGTTGGGCTAGGGTTCTGTGCTCGGATAGCTTAGTTGACCCTAGCTGACTGCTCTGACTCAATCATTCGACCTCACAATCATTGCTAGGGACTTCGTTAACCAAATTATTTTGTCGAATAAGATTGACAGAGTCTCAACCTTCATAATTTATTCATATACGTATAAGACATGGACACTGTAGTAGAATTTAATACCATATTCTATTTGTTTATTTGATTTATAATACACAGTCATGTAGTATTAGTTACCTGATGATGTTTCGAGCATAAATTATTATTGCTCATAATCATATCGGTGTAATCACATATTCCTCTCGATATCCCATTTCTATAGTTATGTCACCTCATATGATTTGGTTTTATTGGCAGTAAAATTTTACATATCTCTGGTATAGGTTTTGCATCATTTCTATTACATATGTTGACTGGGTGTTGATTCGATGAATAAAGATTCAGTAATCAATCTCTCTCTCTCCACCTAATTATATTGGACTTAAGTACAGTGGCTTTATCCCACCCTGTTGTGTGGTTGTGTCTTAATACACTCATTGCAATAGTCTAGTGTTTTTCTAGATTATTGATCTTATTGGGGTCTGGCATTCTCCATTCACCTAAATTCCCATGTTCGACTATTCTAACTGACCCCCACCAGCTAGTTTGACCAATATACTTGACCCCACAGTCATTACATGGAATTTGACAGATCAGATTCTGAGTCAATATTTAGTTGGTGCACTGGAGGTAGTCAGAACTCAACTGAATACTGACACAGAACTTACCCATAGAACTAGGATATCGCTTGATGAGATCGCATTAGGCGTACAGTTATGCCTAACCTCCACAGTCTTCAAGTTTCAGGACAAAATATGCAGATAAACAGGAGGAGTAGAAACGAAATCACCAATATCCCCTATAGTAGCAGATATATTTATGGATAGTTGGTAAAACGCGGCTTTACAAACGTTTAGTCCTGCACCAAAAATATGGTGGTGACATGTGGATGGCACATTTACTGTGCTGAAATCGGAACATATCGGCAATTTCCTCATACATAAACTCAGTAGTAGGCGGAATCCAATTCACTCACGAGGTGGGAGATGAACAAAGAGAACTAACGATATTGGATTGCAGGATAAAACAAAGGACAGACAGTGGTTTACATACTACAGTCTACAGAAAACCGACACATTCTAACAGGTATCTAGACTTCAAGTCATCCCATCCAATGTCAGTTAAGGCAGCCTCAGTCAAAAGTGTAAGTGACAGAGCTAGAAAACTGACTAGTTAGTGCAAAGACCTAAACAAGGGATTGAAACACATAAAAGAAGCACTAATAATTGATAATTATCCTCCACAGTTTATTAAGGAATTCTTGCGGAAACACAAGAAACGAAAAGATAACAGTCACACGAGTAGGAATAATAACGACAACACGAGTAGAAAGGAGTTGACAACCTCGATTGTGTTACCCTATAAGGAAGGTACATCAGAAACTTTACGTAGGATCCTGAACAAAGCTGGAATTAGGGTGACATTTAAACCTTCATAGTCACTTATAGATAAGCTTTGTCGGCTTAAGGATCCGATAGGACCAATTGAGGAAAATAATCTAATCTGTCGAATTCCATGTAATGACTGTGAGTTCAAGTATATTGGTCAAACTAGCTGGTGGGGGTCAGTTAGAATAGTCGAACATGGGAATTTAGGTGAATGGAGAATGACAGACCACAATAAGATCAATAATCTAGAAAAATACTCGGCTATTGCATTGTATGCATTAACATACAACCATACAAAAGGTTGGATTGGATAAAACCACTGTACTCTAGTCCAATATGATCAGGTGGATAGAGGGAGAGATTGATTATTGAACCTTTATTCGTTGAATCTACACCCAGTCAGCTGGATGTATCTGCCTCCCAATGAGTGATGTTGTTCCCGCCTGGATTCGGACTCGTGGGAACAACATCACTCACTGGGAGGTAAGTACATCCAGCTGACGAGTCCTAAATAAGACGAAATGCGCATCCTGGATTCCACTGCTAGCCACTACCCATCATTACCATGCATAATTAAAACACAGGCAATATCGAGGCATCCACACAGGAGCCCATATTCCAACAGAAACTGACCAATTCGGTTCAATCAGCGGCGGTGTCATACAAACAAGAACACTGGAATTTTCTTTACTAAAGTTAACTCAATGGTTAGATAAAATCATTACTATGTGCACTCAGCACTTAAAGTGTTTATTACAACTTTCTGAAACATGTTGTAACAATAGAAATAAAAGCGAATAGAAAAATGAATTTAAAGTTTACAGTGAATTTGAACATTGAATTACATAGTTCGGTTTCACAACAATAAATTTCTGCATCTATCATGGACGGAATATTCTTACAAGAAACATCACACGATCTCAGTAACTGTCCTTTATTTATCTTGGAAACAATTTTCTAGATTGATACCAAAAAAGAAGAGAAGAACAAATTGTATTGATGAAGACCTGTCTTTTTTAAAAAGCAAACTTGTCGAAAACAGTCACCTTAGTCGTTTTATTGATAAAAATATTCTACACAGAAATACCAAACCGGTCATTCACTCAGTTTCAAAGAAAAGATTGTTCATGAGCCTAGAATTTAAAGGTGACCTAGTATCGGATGTATTAAAGAATTGTCTATGCAGATCAATTAATAGGATTTTCTTTACAACAAGACTTCAGTTGACTATTACCAGCTGTAATATATTCTCCGTTTGTGTTAAAGACAAGCTACCTTGTTTGGCCACCTCTATGTGCATCTACCAGTTCTCCTGCTCTTATGGAGCAAGGTATAGTGGCCGTAGTCAGAGAATGCTTTCTACACGTATATGACAACATGTTCCTGCTTGGTTTTATAAAGTTGAAAGGAAGTCTGTTAGAAGTTTGATTCTAGAACATTTGATTGATTTCCATCACTCAAATTATTTATCAGATTTTGCCCAAATTTCTCATGTTTTCTTCGTTTTCAACTTCTTAAAACAGTGGAGGCTTTAGCTATTCATGAACTAAAACCTGATTTGTGTGTACAAAAGAAGTATGTACAGCCACTGTTTTATCTCATGTCTATAACATTTTCCCAACCCCATTAGCTTCCCCCCTTTGTTAATTTAACCTTTGTAACCATCCTTCATCACTATTACTGTTAGTATAATTACCTTCACTTTGATTAGTTTCCGGTGTTATTTCACTTAACTGTCTTAATCTTTTTAGAAAACGTTGATTTCATCTTGATCAACTCATCTCATCCTATTACATAACACTTAATTGATTTGTCACTTTCATCACGCTTCCACCCCTTTTACGAATCATCCCATATGTTACGTAATTTAATTTGTTATCATAATCACACGCCTGTCATCAACTGCTCTGTTATTACTGTTATCATCATATAGTGTTTACATTTCCTCATGGGGTATTCTTTTTCAAATATCATTTACATATATATATATATATATATATATATATATATATATATATATATATATATATATATATATATGCAATTGTACAGCTTGAAAATAAATTCATTGAAAAGAGTCTCTTCGCTGAATATCTTGTTCTTGATGTTACAATGGGAATTATAAAATTTCAAGTTGTTATTCATCGTAGACTGATATCAGTTGGAGGAACAAACGAAACCTGGGAGCACTGGACACCTGCTTCGTCCCAGTATGGGACTCTTCAGCAGTTTGCATGCACGAGCCTGCTATGGATCGATCCCGCGACCTTCAGGTTCCGTGGCCACCACGTTACCATTCAGCCATTAAGTCGGAATCCAATGCTCCATATTTCCAACTTCTCTTAGTTCACGATATAGCACAACCGCCACCCAATGTCACAGTTGAGTAACTGTCCTCATGACCATCAGGCTTTGACTCCACCGGTCACGACTTGTCACTGGAACTTTGCGAATACCTCTCGAAGCTAGTCACCAATGAGCACGAGTTCAACTGGATTTTGAGGGAGTTGTGGGGATTTGGAAATATTTCAAGTTGTTATTCATTGTAGACTGTCATCAGTTGTCCGTGCTGGCCATGGAACCTGAAGGTCGCGGGTTCGATCCATGGTGGGGTCGTGGGTGCGCGCTGCTGAGGAGTCCCATATTAGGACGAAAAATCTGTTCAATGCTTCAAGGTTTCATTTGTTCCTCCAACTGATGTCAGTCTACAATGAATAACAACTTGAAATATTTTCGAATCCCCACAACTCCCTCAAAATTATAAAATTAACAAATTAACTTTCCATGAATATGATGAATAAATTTTACTCAGAATAAAAGGTACATATGCTAAATATGAATCTGCATAACTAATACATAAATATCTTTCTAATTCTGAAATGTATGGTGTTATTCGAAGATCAAAAAATTAGCTTCTGATTCAACAGTTTTATTTTTTTCATATTATTATCATTGTAATCAATCGAAATCATTCTACGATAGGTATATGCTAAGAGTGCCATGACTAACATTGTAAAGCTGTATGGTTTTCATAAGTTTGAAAAGCACGGAATTTCACATTCAGTTTGACCTAAATAGCCCAGTAAAAGGCAGAAATTATAGTTGTAAAATCAACATCAGTTGTCATCCTTTGCATTACCTTCAACGATTTCAAATAAAAACAGGAGATAATGAATACTACTTTGTTCCAGAAACATCTGTATTCGTTGATTGGTTGAAGGCGATCGGCAAGAAGCCCTGGACCTAAGTCTCGTACTTGTTAGCACCCTTCAGGAAGGAATACCTGCAATCTTGACGAAAGTGTTGTTCCAACTGAGATTCGAACCCATGTCACTCAATATTGTAGTCAGCGACTTTACCACTGAGCTATTTGGCCCACGATTGACCCCCTATAGGACTGGGTTAAATACATTGACTGGTTAAGGGAGAGCAACTAATCAATGCACATCTATATTCATTAAACAATCAATGTCATGGTAACACACTGCCAGATTGAATATAGGAAGAATATCGAATGAAACTTGTGGGTATAGTGATCTTGGTGACTAGCAGAAGAGTTCAGGATGCACGTTTCATCCTATTTGGAATTCATCAGCCTGATCTACCAACACTTCACTTAGGCTCTAACCCAGTACCCTTCGCTCCAAACGCCTGAGCCACTGGGGTACGATAGCCACCTCTTGTACAACCGGTATCAGTTGTTGCAATGATACTTGCAATTTCCCCGTTGCTATACATGGTCAAATTGCTCAACCTCTAGTGTTGACAGATAGGCTACTATGCATATCATTACATAAATTGTGGCTTTTGACTCAATTCATCTAATGCTTACTTACAAAACAATGTGCTATTCGTATTTTACTTAAACACTGAATGTTAATTAGCTACTATTTGTTTACTTATCAGTAATGATATTTGACTTTCCGATGACTATGTGAAGCATTACTATGAATGCGATATCCACATACAAATTAAAACAAAAGTACGAATTACAATCCATTTTAATTTATTCATACAGAAAAGAAAATCCCTTGAATGATGGAATTACGCATAGTTGTCAACAGTGAATTTTTTGTTAAGCTTCAGAACTCAATAAGAATCATATGTAACCTATCATGTTTGATTGTTTGTAAGACAGCACAGAATGAATCGAAAACTTTTTATAGGAAACTTTTCTTATGAAGCATACGTTATTCTTTCGTCGTATTTGGAACTCGTCGACTGAATGTTCTATTTCCCCATGATTTATGTTGTTCACACTAAGACTAGGTCCCAGGACCTGGATTTCACCTCTAATCACTTACCATTATTACTACCAAACTGGAACTATAAGAAATACCGAGGTATCCACAGTAAAGCCCATATGTCAACAGAGACTGTTCAATTCGATCCAATCAATGACAAGCAACTACAGGGAATATCATCATATGTTATTCTGCTGTTCAAATCCTGGTGTAAAATTATTTCTTTAAACCGGTTACTCAGCTTTTGATTATTGACCTGTATTCATTAATAATCAAACGCAAGTTATAACATATTCTTTTTGTTCAGCGTTTTCATATATTTGTCTTAATCCATTAGATGATTCAACGTGCGAAATGGAACTTTATAGAAATTCAGCTCAATCTTCTTCATACTCTAACCTCCAATGAAACATTAAGACCATATGGAGGTAAAATTTCCTTCAGTTCAAAAATATTTATGATGATATTATACTATGACGAAATGTCTCTAGAATATGTATTTGTCCATAAACATGGAAAACCCTATGAAGCTAACTAAGGCATTTTACTTGCTGCTAGTGATAATCCTTTATAACATTTGGATGATGATACGAAATCTTGTTTATTGTCTAACCATGAAACTAACATAGACAGAACAACATATACTAAGGACCAAGAGTCTCGTAAGAGATATGAAGTGACACATATCAATCCACCTGACATACAATACCTAGAATGAAGCTTTGATAACTAATGACGTAGATATAAGATGGGTAGATATTTCCATAATATACCGAAACGATACACGACATCATTTAATAAAAGAACTTGAATCTTACCACACAAGCACCACATCCCTTCACTTTTTTCGTACCATTAATTAAGCTCCCACAATTTAAACATTCATAACACGTTAGGTTACCTGTTGAACCAACTAAAAAATATTTGCATAGGATATTAGATTTTAATAAATAAGAAAAATAACAAGCTTCTAAACAAGATAAAATATAACCATTTGTTAATATACTTGCTATACTGGATCAGATTGTTTAACCTTTGTTGGCATATGGGTTCCTATGTGGATGCCTTGATATCTTGTGAATAGTTATTATGGTAATTCACTTGGTGACTTAGCTGCCTAGTGAATAACGCTTTGGCGTTTGAAGCGAAGGGTAACGAGGTTAGAATCTTAACGAGAACAACATCACTCACTGGAGTGCAGATGCATGCAGCCTTAAACAAGATGAAACGTGCTTCCTAAATTCATCTGTTAGCCACAACCAAGTAAATCAAGATGAAGTATATTGCAAAACCTTGAATAATGAATGCATTATTCATGTGATTAACCATACATATATCGAGTTTCTAGTCACTAATTAATGTGAGTTGCCTTAAGCATAGGTAAGGAAGACAGCTATGTGAATAAGAATAAATCATTCTCTTGTCTATTTTTGTTTTTAAATATCTCTAGTAAACGTAGTTCTGACGATATTTTCATGTATTATAGTGTTATTAAAAATCAGCATTTTATATTGAGCCAAATATGTTCAACTCACATGTTTATATTTCGTTTTCTTTAAAAATTATTTAAAAAAAAAACCTGAAACCATTTATTTTTAATTAAAAATGAGATTTTCTTCAGATAATACAGAACGAACTATCAGGTAAAAGACTTTCATTGAAATCTATATAGATTTTGTAAGGTTGGACTAAGTTATAAAGCTGAAAGAACAAAAAATAATCTTGTCTTGAAAAATAATGAAATCGATTACAACAGTAAAACACGTAGCTCATCAGTATTTACTAACATTTGCCAAGATAAAAACGTAAGAGAAATTCCTTTCCGTAAATATGGTTCTTTATAAAACATTTGACATTTGTGCACTCTTCAAATTGGCTAACATTAGAAAGGAATTTGGGTTAGAACAAATGGTATAGAATATATCAACCCGAAGTTATCTCCTTAAGGTAAAGTATAAACCTTATTTTGTGATTAGATATGATAGTTCTCAACCATCAAAACAGATCAACGGAATGAGTGATATAAGAAGCAAAGTGTCATTTACTCACTCTACTTCCAGTGATCACTTCCAAATGCATATTCTGACAAGATCTTGTTCTCTAGTCAGTTCACTAATGATTATTACATGCTACCCCATACCATTCAACATTATGTCTTCAAATAGATATTTCCCCGCTCGACCGGGATAAAGATCCAAGGAGATTTGGATTTCGCCGATCACTTGTGTCTAATGTCCTGTCATCTACAGGCAAAACCCAACAAGTTGACAGATGAAGCGAGGCAGGCCAGCGAAAACGGGACTTCAAGTGAATGTAGAGAAGACAGAGACAGAAGTGATGAAGATACCCAACCAACAACAGCAACAACAACAACAACAAGCTGCAATCACCATGAACAGAAGAAACTTAAAGGGAGTAGCCTCTTTCACCTATCTACACAGCACCGTTTCAACTACAGGCGGCACAGTCACAGACGAGGACGTCAAAGCCAGTCATGATCGGAGAAGCAAGACAGGTGTTCATTAACCTGAAACCAGTGTGGAGATCTTCTGCACTGCACTCAGCATAAAGCGTGAACAACATCCGGATTTTCAACACTAATATAAATCAAGTCAATGCTTCTATGTGATGGTTGAGAGACTTGGCGCGTTATGAAAAGCATTTCCAACAAACTACAGAAATTCATCAACAACTGCCACCTACACTGGCTCGTTACTGAGGATCAGATAGCCAGAATAATAGGAATAAGCAACAAGGGACTGTGGCTGATAAACAAGAACCTATCACTCAACGATTGTGCACTGGAAGGAAGTGGAGATGGATTGGATGGGGCATACACTGAGAAGACCATTCGGGGATATCATGTGCCGGACCAGGCACTCGAGTGAAACGCAGATGGGAAAGGACGAGTTAGGCATCCGAGGTGAGGGTGACATGGAGGAGATGGTGTGAGGAAGAAATGAGAGCTTCTGGGCGTTCATGGAGCCAGGTTGAAAAGATTCCAGAGGAGAGAGTGGAATGGAGACGTGCTACTGAAGCTCTATGTTCCACTAGGAACCCAAGGGACAAATAATATGATGATGATAATAAGCCAAATTTAGCAATATCTTTCATAAAAATCTGTGAAATGTAATATATGAAATGTCATTTTTCAACAGAAGACAGGCGTTATTCGAATGGGTGAAGGAGAATTACCTAGTGAAACGTTTGAGCTCGACCATGAGTTCATTTGTCGACCACGATCATCAAGTTTAGCTGAAATAATTAAAATGAAAATCTCTTGTTGAAAGTGGTGGGAGCCTTTCGAATATTGAGTAAAATAGATGGAATGTGAAATGACTAGTGAATATTTGTGAGTATTTGCTAAGGTAGTAATTGTATGAGACAGAGAAAACGTGGCATAAATCCACTTCTGAAGTGTACACTACTTCGAAAAGCACTTGACAATAATGAACTGGTGAAAATGGTGTGATGATAGAATGGGATATCCAAGGGAATAATCATCACAACAAAATGTATTGATATGAAGTTGTGTAGTTATTGCCCATAACCGACATTTGTCAGCAGTTTGTTTTGCATAGGTATTCGCCTTCCTCTCTCCCACTCTAATCACTAATCACTTTTATCATTGTTTCAGCAAAGCTAGAGAACCTTCATCAAGTGTTTGGATGTGCTTCATTGACATGGATAGTTTAATGTGGCTGGTTTCTTTCTTGCATTTCTCCACTCCAAGTATATTCTACGAGTTTCACTCTTAATGTCTTATGAATCTGATCAAGTTTGATGTTGAATTGCTGACATTTAATGACCGTATGCATTTGATTCTTCTTTATCTTTTTACTTATTGCAGACAATATTTATGTTACAATAAGTGAATTTTTAATCTATAATACTTCAGGGAATTCATAGACTGAATTCCCTGAAACATATGGACGAGTCTATTGGTAAAGATTCATTCAGTCAGCATCAATGTCCAGCGGTCAACGAAACTACTACAGAAGTTGTTATATAATGTACTGTTATGACAATGAATTGCAAGGATTTCTTTAAATACGTGAGACTACAACAATGTACCATTCGAAAGCATATTTGAGTTGTTAAAACGAGTTGAAAAGTAGGGATCCGGTGTAATATATTTTGTGGAATATTTAACCAGGCTTTTGTAAATGTTTATACTAGTTTTAATATTACACGAATTTAAACGGGATATTTTAATTTTAAATAGAATGGAATAGTGTCCACAAGAAAATTGTTTTATTTCTAACTGATTTAACCTGAAATACTTTTCATGGGGAAATTTATCTGGGAAACAAGATGTTAAACATTTTTGATGATATTTCAGTTCATTCATTCCACTCATATTCGAGAAAGTGATTTGATCACGTAGAATATTAACTGGATGGTCAATAAAGTATAAATTAAAGGATATAACCTATTCCAAGCCCAGCTTTGTGTTCCTTGAAAGAATATTTTGACATTGATCGATATTGAGTTCTAATGAATGCATAGATTCATCCGAAGTGAATTTTCTTGTAAAGATATGAAACGAGAGTTGTATATACAAAAGAATTTAATGATGTACTACGCATTTAGACATATTTTTTCATAGTGGACATGGAGTTGTACTCGGTAGACTTGAATCCATCATGATATGATGTTAATGGATGGTGTACCGCTATGAGGCTACTTTAGAATGAATATGCTTTGAGTAATATGATATTCTTATCGTCTTGGATCAGTACGTGGCAGCCTGCTTGAACTCTGGGCTACCTTTGTTATCACAGAATATATCGCATCAAATTTCTCATTTCATTATTGTTTTAGTCGTTCAATTATGTTAACTAATCGTATTGTATACTCTCGCGCGCTTTAAAAATCATTACCATATATCGCTTCACAAGTTGATAGGCAAATTAAGAGGCGCCACGGTGGATGGTGACGGGCTCTAAGGTTTGTAAAAAAAACTTGACCACTGTTGTTAAATAAGCTTGCCATAGCTCATATTGAGCCATGGGTTACAAAGTGGCTGTATTCTTATTTTTCTGAAAAGAAAAATTACACTGTCTATAAAGGGAAGCGCTTGACTTCATTGCTTACCGAAGCTGGTGTGCCTTAAGGTGCTGTACTTTCTCCCTTTCTGTTTTGGTTTTTTTGCACAATTTACCTTATTCTGTTCAAACTAAGTTTATTAAGTATGTTGATGACCTGACCGTGTCTATTCCAGTTAGTTCTCACTTAGATTGTTCTAAATTAAATGAATTCTTGCCTGTAGTTGGTCAATGGTGTCTCTCAAATGGTCTCAAGTCGAACCCATCTAAATGTCAGTCTGTTAATTTTAGCCTCAGATGTAAACAGGACTTGTATGAGCTGTTTGAATCACATGACGCCTGTTGCATTGATGGTATTCCCGCAAAAATTAAATCGTGTGTTAACTATCTTGGATTAAGTTTTACTTCTCATGTTTGTTGGTTGTCTCATATCTTATTGACTTGTAAAAAATCGTTCATCTAGAGTATTACATAACTAAACTGAGGCTCTCTGATATAACTCAACTTCTACTTCTACAACTTATCAATTCCTTCATTTTACCAGAAGACGACCATGTTATATTGCTTAGGGCATTGAAAATCGTCAGCAGGGTGAGTAGTGTACTTCTAGCCCAACTGATTAACACTGTAGCTGATAGAAATTTAAATTCTAGCGAGCAACCAGCTACAGTAATGTTAACTTACAATGAGCATCCACTTCATTCACAGCTCTCTCCTTGTATCTCCTAAGGGAGGACAAGAAGAAACTACATGAGACTACGATCGTACAGCTAAGTATAAGAATTCTACTGTACCTTACCTAGCAAGTATATTATGTGAGGGGAAAAATGTTGGAAAAGAACTCACATATCAGCTGTGTAACAGTTAACAATCTCATTTCAATAATTTAAGTAACAATGTAAAATTGTCTCGTTTTTATATAATAAAACAATTTGAAATGTTGCAAAAGGAGTGTATGTATATACCTGTATTTTGTTGTTGTTGCAGTATATCATACTGAGAATTCAAAATTGTACAACAAAGTGTTTGGAATAAAGTGGAAACAACCTCAGTTTCAGTTCTAAGTAGATTAAGTCTATAAAGTACTCAGAATTTCTAAGACCCTTAAATATATACATGACGAAAGTTATGATAGTCTTTGTTTCAAGTTGTTATTCATCGAAGACTGACATCAGTTGGAGGAACAAAGTAAACCTGGGATCACTGGACAGCCGTTTCGTCCTAGTATGGGACTCCTCAGCAGTGCGCACCCACGACCCCACCAGCAGGGATCGAACCCGCGACCTTCAGGTCTTTGTGTTAAATTCCGGTTTTATATTTCATCTATTTATTGGTAGCAATCATCTCATCACATTTAGTAATAAATTTTATAAAATATTTAAACTTTAGTATACACTAATATTTATATGAAATAGTGTATAACGCAAATTTAAATATTAAATTCACTTCTGGTATAAAATAAAGTGATTAATGTCTAAGGTCATTGTATCAACTGCTTAAATGACCAATCAGGTATCGTTATTTCATGAAGATTACCATTCTAACGAAAATAATTAAACTTAATTGGTTATTTTAGTGTTTACAAGGGTAGTCCATAGGAGCCACTCAATAAAATGCCTATTCTTAGTGAAAAATGACTCACCTGAAGTAAATAATAAGTTCTCTATCAATGATAAATAAATGAAAATAACAATCCACATTTTTAAGTAAAAAGAATGATTTCTTAATCTTTTGCTGGCTTGTCAAAAAGATGAATTTATACTATCGGTTCTTTCAATTTTTATGCTTTTCAGTTACCTTCTTAGTGACTAAAAACATTGAAAAATTACGCTTATTTGATTTACCGGATTGTTTACCCTAGCAACTGAACACATACCACCTAAAATGTGGAGACAGTGTTTTTGTTATATGATATTTGTTTCAGTAAAAAAAATGTTTTGCTAAGAATCTGGTCTAGACATTGCCTTTACTGATCTTGGTGGTTGTTTGATAAAAAAAAAGTCAGTTTTTTTATGCACGGGTAAATTATGTGAATAGTAAACACAGAGTATTTGATTATGCTTAAGTAGAAACCTCTTGCGATGCATGGCTAGAAATGGATTTTCATCTACCATCATGAAATACTGGTAAAAACCATGCTGAAAAATATACTATGCACATAAGTCGTACAGGTTCACTTGTACATCCTAGTTGTCTACAGCCTTCCTGACATTCACTAAAACATTCATCTTGTAGACGGCTCCGTGGAGTGGAAAAAAACAAACTGAGAAAAAAGTTCTACTATTACTGTTATAACTCATTTGCTATCGTTTAACGTAAAGACTAACAGTAAGAAGATGGCTTCTACGGGGAATCGATACAGATTATACATCTCCATACAGACTGAATGTCGAATTAAAAATTCAACACTAAGTTTCAGTTTGAAATTCTTGAAGAAAAAGTAGAACACTTGGGCAGCCTACTTAAATCTTGGACTACCAAAATATTTTCCACTGATTATATTCCATTAAATTCATGCCTTCCAGTTTGTTTTAATCCTTGAAATGTTTTCTGAAAGCATCATATATTGTCACACGTTTTTAAAATATTTTCGAACTACTGTTTCTTAAGCTAAGAATAGAACATAGAAATCACGTTCTGCCGGTTGGAAATTGATTCATAAATGATCAAATATACACTACATTACTATTCCTCAATGGGTTTATGAATTCCTGTGCTGGTTGACTAAACTATCACCATCAAAATTACACTCAATTTTATGTTAATTTCCGAATGGAGAACAGGTGCTAGTGTAACACTGGTTGCCCATTTCATACTTATGCCTTCAATAGTGTTATTATTAACACTATGCAGACGTAATAATTATTGCTTTAGAAAATATTGTAAGAAAAGCGAATTTGTTGAAATATTTCATGCTAAAAATTTCATACTGTGTCATACATGTTTGCAATGAAGCGAATATTAATGATAAATTAGTGTATTATTATTATTATTATTCATCCCTTTGTTTCTTTTTATGAACTTCAAAAGGCAATAAGCTAGAACTCGAGAAGTGTATAACACATTTATTCTGCTCTACTAGTCTGTTTTGTAGACACTCTCAATACTCCAAGAATACCAGTATTCGAAATTTTAAATAATATAAGTCACTACTGACTTTGAATTCAGCTTCTTTATTCATTTCAAGGGATAGGAAAGTTGATAAAAAGTGATATACAAATCTACGTAAAGTCTCACTTCTTTTCTCTGTACCTTGAAGCGGAAGTTATTATGGAAATTAAAACAGGATAGTTTATTATCTCATGTTATGTTCCAAGACTTAATTGGGTCTGTGTTTCAGTTTCAAACCGGCTGTCCTCTACCAGGGCTTTTAAGCTTTCCTACTGAAGGTGAAATTTAACCATCAATCTATTTTTACAAACCATATCCTCTATTCTAGTTGAAGGATGCTGAGTTGCTTTAATTTCGATGAGAAATATTCAAAAATTTGTATAATTCGCTATCTAATAAGTTTTTATCAAGTGACAAAGAAGTATATTTGTTACAAATAACCCTTAAGTAAGCAAATCGTTTCATTTGAACCTTTTTGTTCGAGCGAAATAAAGTTGGGGTCAGAAATCAACTCAGCGTCAAAGCGTAATTTCAAAATATATTCAGTGTTGTTAATACAATCCTCGGAAAAGGTTAGATGGGATAATATGAGACAGTATTGTTTACACATTCTTCACTGCCAGTATACTTATTATTTAAACGAAATAAATGCAAATTTAACACGCATCATATCCAACCACAATCATTAATCAATTGAAAGTGTTTACAGTTATGTACGTCACTGTTGAAAAACTTCAATTTCATACATAGTGATTTACAGTAACCAAGACTTAACAGAAGTATTCCATTCGAAGGATGCAACTTAACGACACTGGCAAGTAAAGCATGACAAGCTGTAGGTAGGACAGACCTAACAACATTATATCAAATAACCAGATTACTATCTGGGAAGAGATCAACACAGATGAGACCAATGAAAGATAGTGAAAGAAAGTCAGTTACCACCAAAGAGGAGAAACAAAGGAAATGATGGGCTGACCACTTCAAGAAACTCTCGAATCGACCACCACAACCACCACCACCAGCACCACCTGCAACTCGTCCAGAAATACCACCAACAACCCAGCCACAGAACTACCACTGAATACAAACCCCACGACTACAGCAGAAGTGAGGTCGTGAACGTCGTAAAGTTGCTGAAATCCGGGAAAGCAGCAGGACCTGATGCAATTCCTCCAGAAGCACTGAAAACAGACTCAGAGACAACAGTGGACATGCTCACAACACTTCTACTGTATACATATGCCGATTGGTAGAAGGGCTACCTTGTCAAACTTCGAAAGAAGGGCGACCTAAGTCTTTGCAAGAACGAGAACTGGAGCGGAATCATGCTCCACCATTGTCCACCCCAAGCCAAATATTAAGCCGCATCATCCTGGAAAGACTTAAAAATGCTCTGCATTCAGAATTATGATCAGAACAGGTTGGCTGACTGGCTTCAGGAAGAACAAACCATGTGCGGATCAAATTGCAACGCTATGTATCATCATAGAAAAGAGGATAGAATAGCAGTCAACTGTTCGCTTCAACCTCAGAGACTTTGAAAAATCCTTCGATCGAGGTGTCGACCGAGAAGTAATTTGACAGCTGCTGCTTCAACACTACGGTTTTACTACTACAAACCTTTATCAATCTCATTCAACAGCTACATCATCATGATGATGCTGCATACCACACAATAAAGAGCTCAGTTCACTGATGTCGTTGAAGTGAACGCAGGATTAAGATAAGGTTGCCTACTATCACCAATTATCTTCACGATTATGGTCGACTGGACTATAACATGTGACAAACCGTGAGGAGTGACAAGACATGCGTATGCTGTTTGACCGATGGAAAGACCCCATAAGAAGACGTGAATTTCACCAATGATGATGATCTGTCTCTAAAGTCTTGTCTCACAAACTCAAAAATCAACAGGTGAATCTAACAAGTTGTAACAAGAAGCAAGACAGGGAAACAAAGGAAGATGACATATCCTTCAGGTGAATGCAGAGAAAACACAGGTGATGAAGATACACAATCAACAGCAACAACAACAACAACAATAACGAGTACCAATCACCATCAACAGGAGAAATCCAAAGGAAATTATATCTATCATCCACCTACCTTCACTTTCATACGTAGTGATTCACAGTAACCAAGACTTAACGGAAGTCTTCCATACTAATTGCATCACAGATCTATTTTCATTTGGAGATTTATCATTCAAATTCTTGTAGTTAATTGCATTGGTTAATTATCAATGATGAACTAGAAAGATAGTTTCAATGGTTATATATGACATGGCCTTTTTCACAAAACCAATCTTCTACAATACTTTGGAATCAATTTAAATAAACTGATTTAGCATTCACCGGTTTTAATAAATCACATCAACCAGTAAGTGTAAAAGTGACCACAACAGCATTGAGGCTATTCGAGTTATAGACATAATCTCAAGAAAAAATAAATTGATCCTCAATATAGATAGAATTGCACATATACAAGGGTTTATTGACTGATACATCAAGTATCTAGGACCATATAATTGAGTATTGAACAAAATGAATTGATAATGCCAATATATATGTACATTTTAGACTCTCGATGATGTTGACAAAGGGATCTCTGCCAAGCGCACAGGGGATCCTTCCTTTATCTCGAACGGATACAGGAAACATCAATTTTATAGCCCATCATCTGTTGAATCTGTTGAGTAATTTGCCTGGAAGCACTATTTCGAAAAAGATTCAGTAAATATGTTAGTCTAATTGTAATAGCCTTCGATAGAGTTGACCGAGAATTAATTTAGCAGCCGCTGCTTCAACACTACGGTTTTACTTCCACAAAGCATCATCAGCCTCACTCAACAGTAGCTATATATGAGTATGCTGCATACAAAGGGATTCACAAGGGAAACCTCAGCTCACTGATGCCTTCGAAGTGAAGATAGGAGTAAGATAAGATTGTCACCTACTATCACCTATCATTTTCTCGATTGTGGCCGACTGGACAGGACTGGATCATGCAACAGACAACTGTGAGGAGCGAGGGTATGGGCATACGCTGGCTGGACCGATAGGAAGACCCCATAGGAAGATTTGGATTTCGCCAACGATGATGACTTATGTCTAATGTCTTATGTCATACAAACCTGAAGATTTACAGGTGAAAACTAAAAGTTGGCAGAACAGGCGAGATGGGGCAATTAGGGAAGATGGCACATCCTTCAGGTGAACATAGAGAAGACACAGGTGATGAAGATAGATACTCTATGAACAATAATCAGCACCAATGATCATCAACGGGAAAGATCTAAAGAAAGTTGTCTTTTCCTCCCACCTACCTACGCAGCATCGTTTCAATTACAGTTGGTACAGGCACAGATGAGGACGTCAAAGCCAGCATCGGAAAGGCAACAAGACAGGCCTTCTTTCATTAGTGCAAAATCAGTGTGGCAATCTACTGCATTCAGCATAAAGAACAAGATCCGGATTTTCAACACTAATGTCAAGTCAAGTCAGTGCTTCTATGTGATGGTTAAGGAAATTGACACCTTACAAAAAGTGTTTCCAAAGAAATGTAGGTATACATCATCAACAGCTGCCATCTACACTCACTTCATACTGACACTGAAGATGGAGATCAGATGACCAGAATGATAAGAATAAGCAAGGAAGAACTCTGGCTGACCC